CCCAGCTCTGATACGGAATGGGATTAATACGGTAATTGTGGGTGGCCATATGAAGTGAAATGGTTGAGAGATCCCACTGGGTTTTTGGGGCTTCGTTCTCATTCGGGCTCTCCAATAATTCCCTTCCGCCCATGGTCGGTGACCAATTGTCGAGTGTACTTGTAAGTAAGATAAAAACACCGAAATGAACATCTGCTGGCTGTTTCAGTGGCTCTGTATAGGTCAGATTTAATCACATTCAATATATATAGGATTTCAATAAAGGAATGTGATAGCTAGTGAAATTATAAAAACACCGCTCAAACGAGTCATCCCATTCTTTTCGAGCTTTCTACTTTGTAAGGAGGACTGCGGCATGTTTGTCAACATAGTAATAATAGAGCACTAAGTTGTAAGTTGTTACTTTGTAAGAGTAAAAGTTTCCATAGCCATTCACGCCCTAGAATCTCTGGTGAGTCCAAGTTACAATGTCTACCAAAGGACTTCAGCAAGGTCATAGATGTTTAATAGCAGGGGTGAGGACGATGCCGTAGAATTTACAGCCATCTCGAAATTGGGCACATCTGACTTTGGCAGCTAACTCCCATATTTCTTTTTGAGTTCATTAATCTCCCTGCTACGCCTTCAAACATTGTTGTGAGGGCAAACTGTGGGGACAAAGTTTCTTGGGATGCGCCGCACATCTGTCCTCAACACCGATTTGCTAGTGGTCGCTAAATCAATGTGGGCATTGGATTTTGCTCAAGTCCACGGATTCAGACAGACCTTATACTTTAGCACGCTACAAAGATTCCTAACAGTTTAATCACTCCAGTCATTTGCCCCCTTTCATGAAGGCTTGGATGACCAAGGTGAGGCACGATCTGAAATTGATCCACTAATTTTCCGAAGGTGGCACTAGGAAGGATAAACTCTCAACAGCCCAAAAAATGTCAACTTTCAGTTCAGCTTGAATTGTGAAGAGAGACATTTAGACATCTCTCTTAATTCTTACATCATGACAACTGTGAGAGTTTTATTCTTACCGTATCCTTTTCAGACATAAAATTAGTGGCACTTTCACAAACAAAAAGCTCATTCACTATTCATTGAAATGCTGGAAACTTCTTGGTACAGCCTTTAGGATCGCACTCTTCTCAGCAGCAGCAGCAGTGAAAGTTATTCCATTACTTTCAAACATTCATTTAATAGTAAGATGCGACCACAGTGCTTTTTCTGTTAAGCCGTGTTCCTATTTTATAGTCCTTGACTGATTGTAAGACGTTGTCAGAATTAGGTCCCATTCGGTGTAAATGACTCGACCAAGATATTTTAGGAACTCTTACAAGTAATGAATGAGTCTTCGAAATACAAAAACCGGGCCTTCGAACTTGAACGGGGTTCTAGGTTTTGGAAGGCGATATTAGGAGAAGTTTATAGAGAACCCCTTCGTAAAATGAGACCACAAGTAAACTGCCGTCTTGGCTGTTTTAAGGATTACTTTCTTCTGTGATCGTCAACGAAGCACGCTTTGAAACCGTATTCAAGCGGCTATAAATCGCGCAAGTGTCAAAAGAAGTGGAAACGCAACATTTTCTCTATCCATCATCTAATCCAGAACTAGCTGTGGCTTATGAGAAGTTTTTTTTTTGTTCTCAAGAGTCCCTTATAGAGCCCATGGCTGTATCTCATAATTGTTGGACTAGTTACCCGGACTGTGAAAAGGTACTATCTCAAGAGGGGCAGGTTATGGTACCAGAGATGGCGGATACAGTTTTTCTCAGGCTCTGGTACTCCTCTTCTGAACTTCCGTCGTCCTCATCTCCTTCGCCTCCTTCTACCTGAGACGACATAGTCACACACCTTTGTGTGCAATACCCTATTCAAATATCAGCATACCAATTACTCGATGTCTACTTAAGAGCTCAGGAACAATAGTTACTTGTTACAGGAATAAGAATGAGGTAATGTTCACCTTTCTTTTTAAAATACGGATCTTTCAGAAAAAGCGACCTCACGTTTCTGGAAAACTGAAAATTCTATCACAGACCTTGAGAATATAACTTCCTCAAATGAATATTCCGAGCTCCACTTGAGTTTGAAGACTTTGTTTGGTAGCAGAAGACCATCGGGAACTATGCGTGTCAAAGTGAGAGCATTGGAACACAAATCCCATTATGTCCAGCCTTTGCTAACTCAGTATGGCTCGTTGGAGGGGATGAAGTTACGGATTTTCAACGGGGGATTCAGTTACAGCTCTATAGCCATTGTGCAGGGTGGGTAGACAAGAGAGCAAGTGGGTGTACATTCGAAATTAGGTGCGACCTCAAACAGTCGTCGTCCAGTGAGGGCCAAACGATCGGAGGGTTCTGAAGTGGGCGGAGAGCGTGAAAGGGTGTGAGAGACAGAATTCCTAGTCAACCTATTCTCGCCAATGTCCAGGCATGGTCAAGACTGTTTGCCCAGACGGGCATTCCCTGTCTGTTCTAAAATTAGCAGGATACCGAGCTTTTTAGACAGGTCATGGTATTCAACAGATTCATTGATTGGGCACTATTACTGAAAACTTTTTTACAAAGCTATTAGCTTCCGGAATTCCCATCATATTCCGGCACGCTATACCCTTCTACCCTTCCCCCCCCCCCCCTATCGATTGCTCTTCCGCAGCTGACAATAAACCTATTGGGCACGGGAGCCAAAATAGATTGAAACGGACTCTCCATCCTTCATTTTAGGTTCTATTTCATCTGAAAACATTAATTCGAATAAATATTAATTTGGATAAATCGCTGAATCTGAAAATAGTGCTTCTTCATGTAGCCACTAAACTCTTCTATTTGCTCAACAATCAGAGTACTGTGACCAGATTTACATCCTGGTGACATAGACAAAGACAACATCAGGCCCCACCTAGGTTGTTTACTCGTTAGTATGGTTTTCAAAGAAAAAAAGTTATTTCGCCTTTCGAAGACTTATGTTTGAACCAAGCTTCTATGCTTACGTATTCCTTGTATTTCTTTACTTTACCGTACTTCTGCTGACAGTACAAACATTCTTCTATTACGATTTCCGGCTGGCACCGTATGCATGGCGCATTCCTTCTTTCGAAAGATCTAGCATTTATTGAACATTGAATAGCATTGGTTTTGAAATGTCCTGATGATTGCAAGCAATAAGTCTTTAGAATGCCTGAATGCTACATAAGAACAAAGCTCTAGGAATTTTAATCTCAAGATATCGATTTTTCGAGTGTCCTTGAGGATTATTGACAGAGCCAAAAAGAGGAAATCTATGTAGCGTCTTGCAAAGCGGCTTTATCTCTAAGAAAGTTATCGATTACCCTATAACTCTACTTAATCACAATTTTTCATGATTAATTCCCGTTCAATAGTTAGTTGCCCATTTGTAATTTATTACCAATACTGCGGCTTATCACTTGAACATTTGGATTTTTTTCGTTGATCAAAAAATGCAGAGGGTGTTTTTCGAATGGCTGGGATCCTCACCTAATGCTCAAAAAAAAATGAAAAAAATTGATCAGTGGGGCACTACGCCTCACTGAAACTCCCTTCTTTTCTTCTCGTTCGACTCGGACTGGTCCACATGCTTCCTCCGCTTTTTCTTTCTAATTTCTCTATGCAAATATAAACATTCTCTACTAATTTCGACTACTTTTTTATTCTTTTCAGTTGAGAGCTTTTGGGTCGCCTTCTTAAGTTTTGTGGGTAGGTACTCCTTGGGTGGGGCCAATTTCCCTGCTCATATTGGCCTAAATGGAAAGGATGAGGAATAAGGGTCGTATGTGCTCTGGACTGTTACTGCCTTCACTGCCTTGACTGTAAGGTCAGTGAAGGATGGGTGACCGGCGTTCATCAACGGGTCTAGGATGAGCCATGCCTGCAAGTTATGCTCGAAATCGATTCGGTGTTTTAGTGCGTAATCTGCCTCTGCTCCCATTCGATTGCTCCTTTACTAACTTCGATGTCTTCTCGTCTTCAACTATAATTCGTACCTGTGGGAAGCCAGCGGTGGCACAGAATAAGCGGATCATTCCTGATTAAGCGAGATTCCTTCTCATAAACCATGACAGCGATGAGCAGGGAGTCTAGACTCTGCTCTATCTTTATGTGAAATTTGGTTATTCTCGTTTTACAGCTGTATAAAAAAGTTATGAGGTTATTCGCTAAGTTATTCGCTCACAAGTTATTGATCGCTCGACCGGATCCAAACATTTTAGTATGCGGATTTTTCTCTTTATACCCTCGAACAGTCAAGAGTATATTACAAGTAATCCTTTTACATTGGTTTTTATATGTAGAGAAGAACTACGTCGCATGAGCACTTACTACATACTCAACATATATCGTTTACTGTAATAACCAGTTCGCTCATTACTCTAACTACTGTCTATTACGGATCATCACATTTTTCTTAGACAATTACTATTCCAGTTCTGCCGTACCGCATGTTAGTGACGATTTCATAGAGGCACCAGCCTTCTTCTATGATATGGACTACGATCTCAAAGATTTAAACGTAAGTCTTTTTAGAATTTCTTCGGCTTCAAGATGCTTCAAAAATTGATATTCATTTACAGACGGCCTTAAAAGGGGCAGAGTTCCTACAGGATTCCGGCTATCAATCAGTTCTGGAGCGATCGGCTCATCCGTTCACGTCCAGCATTGTCGACGATATTCTCAGCGAGGGTAGCGATCCGGCTAATGACGAGGACTGGGGTGAGGATTTAGCTCTTCTACTAGAACTTCATTCCAATATTTCCAAGAGTATAAAGCTAATGGATTAAGGATTTCAAATTCCAAAATCTAATTTGTACCCCCTTCGATCACGCCCGGAGTGTCCTCTTGTTTAGAATGGCGACTTACTATGCACCAGTCCAATAGTCGTTGTAACCGCTACGCGACCGCACGTGGCGCTTTGTGACAATCTCAGATGGATTTATAGAAAGCTATAAAGAGATTCCAGAGGGCTGCTAAGAACCCATGTAGAGCAATTTCGCGAGATTATTGTCATCCCACTGGGGAGACTTCAGCAATTGATCGTGACCCTGCATTTGGGTCAACGAAATGGATGTGTCCCATAGACGAGTGGCGCCTATGTATGCACTAATTGTTTTCGCAAGTCCTCACTAACAAAAATGAAATTGTTCCATTTTCAAAGTACGAAAAGCGTGCATTGAAGTGCGATTGCGAGCATACGGAAGAGGCGTCGCCCTTCCCCATCCGGCATGGAGGATCGTTAGAATAGCTAACGGCCACCAAATGACTATGAAGGAAATGATCCCGAAAAGTTGTACTAGCAACAACAACATTTTGTCCTTTTGGTCCATATCATTATTCTCACAGGAAATAATTAGTTTTGAGCTGTGCATCTTAGGGCTCTGTGTCCGGGTTCACAGAGGTAAGGCAGACTTAATCAGCAGCCCGAGCAAAGCAATCAGCTACGTCCCTCTGAATAACCACTTCATAAGCTTCAAATAGTTCAGTATGATTGTTGTCCGTCTGGGGCAAAGCTCTTCTTCTAATCCCGAGGCTTTCCAACAAAAAACTCGATGTGATAGCTTTTCATGCGAGGAAAGTCTTAGCCGACGATTTGGCGCATGTCTAGCGACAATTATAGGGAAACTTGTCCTCATCCCCCTGACGATGCTTTTGCTGGGCTATTTTATGGACCGGAAATGTTTCGATAATTCAATCTTGTTTGGAGTTCCTACTAATAAGGGAGGGGGGGGGGGGGGGGGGGAGGGAGAAAATCATAGCAAGGATATATGGGTCCGTAAGAAAGAAAAATAGACAGGTTGCCGTCCTGGCTTTCTGGTTTTCTGTGGTTGTTACGATAGGACTGGCCGGTGAGAAGGTTATAAATATCGAGGAATCACTAGTGCTACAAGGAATTTCTAAGAAATCATTAAATTGTTTATTTGTTTATTTGTTCGTTCGCGCGCTTGGGATTGGCTCGGTGTAAACTTATAGTTCATGTCCGAGTAACCATACTACAAGGCTTAACAGGTTGAGTGGTGAGATAGTAGGCGTTAATTGCAATTATACATATTTAAACAAACGTGCTATTAAAACTGGTCCACGTCAAGATTAGGACCGGTAGTACAACGGCAGGTGGCGAGCTACCTTTCCTCTAGCTTACATGTCACCGAAATGGGGGTCCTGCAAAAGCAAGATGGTAGGACCAGAGCTCTTCTGTTTATACCTATCTTACAGGCATAAGATTTCTTTTTCACCTCAATTTCTTACCTGGAGGCCAAGTTTAATACCAGTTTCACTCTACAGAGAACTCGACTTCCCATAGAGTGAAAAGTCGTCTTCATATGAATGTAGCAGTTGTGGACGTCTTCTTTTTCAGATTAATGTGATGATCCACGACCTAGAAAATGAAATTGCGCCGTTTATATGTAATTCAGTCGTTTTCTCTAGACGCCGTGCCGTTTCGGTGCCATGTAATGAGAAACGGTACCACCAGCAATTGGGACAGATTTGCAGCGATGAAGTATATAATCCGGGCCTCGAAAGTGGGTCAAAGAAAACGGCTTAATAGGAAAAAATGGGTTAGAGGACACTGTTCCTACTGAAGGAACTCATCGCTAAGTCCCAAGGTAATTGAGTTGATGGTAATTGAGCCGTCCACGATTCACTGGGCTAGTGAAGTTCTGTGCTAAACTGAATTTTCGAGCCTGACTCGCCTTTTTACAGTGGCAAGACCGGGTAAAATAAATCGTGGTCTTCCATTGATCACGTATTTTTCATTGGTAGAGAGGGTTTATTTCGGGTATTACCAGATTTGTACTCTCAACACCTAAGGTATTAGATCCTCCCCTAACTAGCTCATTCTCAAAGCAAGCTTGCCACAGAAGATGCTCTTGTGCGGTACTGCCAGGTCCTTCGAAGATATGGAGGCCATTGAAAGGTTGCATCAATATGTGGACAGATAATATACTGATTTGACTTTTTCTCCAAGAGAAGCTATTCACGTTATCTGCGGTCGCTTCCCCTTACCGTGAAGCCAGAGGCTCGTCCTATGTGATGATCTCTAGTCTAAAAACACCTGTCTGATTCTAGTCCTGCTCTCGCATCACCAATCCGACAGGGCTGCCTGTATGGCCTTTGACATCTGACGGAATCAAATAACGTCTATTCATAGGCCCAGCTTACAATTAGCAACTCCATTTCGGACGAAGGAGTGTCTTCAACGGTATTCTCTNTTCTCTTTAAGGCCTACTTTTTTTTCGCCAACTTTCCTTAGATCATGATGCTGACGGTGCTAGAGTTGGAGCAGTCAATCACAGATTGGTAGAAGGAACTTTCCTCCCACCATCCATGTCGTCTTTAGTCATTACAGCCATGGGCCCCGAATTCTGTCACATTCCTTCTTTGAAGCTTCCCACTGTACGACTTGGAAATAACTTTTGCAAGGATACTTTTCAATATGCAGTAGCAATCCCTACTCGTCCACATCACATCGCTGTTTAACAATCTGCTCTCTTGTCCCATCGTTAGCCATCGAGAGTAGCCCTTCTCTATGTTTTAGCACAGTTTAAATAGCTCCCATTCGGGTCTTACCACCTAAAAAACCGTGTGCAATCCTTCGCGGGCATTCCCGCGACCTCATGCCAATATTGATTAGCTGCTGCAAGCGCTGCGGAACATAGCATGGATGGGTCGCATGCCTTATCGATTAGTACTCCCAAGCATAGACGACGCCCCTGAGGGAATGCGTGTTAAAGTCAAAGTTATGAAGTTTGAGTTGTTGAATTTTCTCGTTATAAAGTTGCTCTCCATTCATGAAGCCATTATTTCCGCATGGGACAAAACTTGCAGCCGTCGTTTTTCCGTTTTTGCGTTTTAGGATGTACATTTTGTTACTTTGTCTGGAGCTCAGCTATTGCAGGGTTCGTTACATATCTGATTTTGCATTTTTTTGAGATCTACCTTGTTATGATATTAACTGAATCCTTGAAACAAAGGAAATTACTGTGGGGCGTTGGGGCGTCTTAGAAGAAACTTAGAAAATGACTTCTTCAAGAGTTTGAAAGAGGGCCTATCGTTGGGGTAAAAATACCCATTCTCAAAGTCGAAAACCGGTACTAGATTCAATCGACTCAGAACTGTTTAAGACCTTTTTACACATTTCTGCCAATCAATAGGTTAGTATCTTACTCTCACAACTCAACCATACCTCTACAAGATTCGCAATAGTGTCACGTTTTGTATATCCTCTCTCCTTGACTTAAGGTTGAGCTGAGGCGGTGATAACCGAGTTTAGGACGAGTTGCTGTTCTCTGCATTCAGAGCTGAGACTAGATGGCCAGGCACACGGGTGTAACGTCCTTTTTTGGGTGGAGTTATCAGCTTCTGAGCTGGTAATAGAGACTGTACTGGATTGAGTGAAACACTTTTAAGAAAGTTCGAAGAACAACTGAAATTTAAAAAAGCCACTCATTTCTAATTCTGCTTGATCTGTTTTGAAGTATATCTCTTTTCCTTTTCAGATGGGTTCGTGACTGTCGGTGAGGATCGAGTACGGATCAAGGATATGTCAGATATACTTGCCTCACGATATGCATTTCTTACAAGTAGGTTACCAGCTCTTACTTGTACCATTACGTACCTCCTGTGGGAGCATGCCGTTTTCGATATTGGATTTTTTCAAAAATTACCCAAAGTTCGCGAACGAAAACAATTTTTTATTTGGTCGAGGTGGAAACTAATCGACTTGGACAGTACGATTACCAGTTCATCATTGTTATTAGTCTCAAGTTTCAAAACCAGTCGTATTATGAATTCAGAGTTAACAGAACTGGGTCGGTTTAGGCGCTCGCACCAACGAAGGCATGTCGATAATAACATTTCCGGATTCTCGAACCGTTTTATCATTCGAGGATTACCAGACCTTGATTACGTACTTGCTGCAAGTTCCACCGTGAGTTATTACTGTTTGTAAAGTAACCAGACTTTTTTGTTTTTCGTGCCACTCTGGAGCGCTTTTCAAGTTTATTTGTCATTTAATACTCGACTCTGGAAGGGGTTTGTGCGATCAATTTCCATAATTTCTTTACTAGCGATTACCATTTACATCCAGCAATCGCCTAAGTGGAGCTCTCAACAGCACCAGCCACTAGTACACCTTAAAATTCAATCGAACTGAAGTTATGATTACATTTTAAGCAGCTTCGTATTATTCCAGGCTAGAAGACAGCCACAAAGGATTTGTGGTGATTGTGGACCGACGAAATGACAAATGGTCCTCTGTCAGAGCGCTCTTCCTCCAAATCACCGTGAGTTTTATTTTCGTCGTCGTCAATGCTGTCATCTAGGGCATCTACCAAGTTCTCTACTTTCCAAGAAGCTCCTGGAAGCTGAGAAGATCGCGAGGTATAATAGGCCAGTAAAAATACAAGGCTGCACAACTGCCTTAGAAATCAGAGCTTTAGTCGTGGGAAAGTATGGCGTTCATATGGCGATTCTTCGCGCACACATAGGCAGTGCTTCTGAAACGCTCAGCAAGCGAATGGGTGCCTTCCGTCTCTCAAAGGGATAAATCTGCTCCGATTTAGGTATAGTAGTTGAATAGTAGTTGTCGCTTCGCGACGGGAGCGACGCCGCACCCGAAGGAATGTAGCAAAATGAAACAGGAGCAGCGGAGCGTGTCAGGAACACAGGAGCAAAAGAATTAACAGTAAAGTCATGCCTAAAATAATAATCGCATATCGATCAAGCTGTGAAGAAAGCTGGAACTGCAATAACGAAGCAACTAGTCTGCGACTGCCGCGTGCGGCGAATCGATTACGCAGAACTGATTCAACTGCCCTTCTCCCCTTGATTTTAATAGCTGCCTCGCCCCAGATTTGCGCACTAGCAGTACAAGATTATTGATGGCATCATCTACGGCTCACTTAAGAAGGATACTTGGTTGCATTCAAGATGACTTGCGTACCGCCGTAGGTTCCACCATTGATTTTCTACCCATTCCAAATCTGCTAAACGATGGTGGGATTAAAATTACATAATCACTTTTTCCTTGAGTTATAACACTAGGGCGATTAAATAATTAAACTCTACTGATATTAAGTTATGCGAATTTGTAATCTTCATTTTCTAGAAATTTATTTTCAGTCATACTTCCCAGGAACGATAAGAGTAGTCTTCTTGTTGAAACCAGAAGGCGTACTACAGAGGGCGCTTGAAGTTGGTTACCGAGCCATAGCTGAAAATTGTTCATTCAAGGTAGGTATTTCAGGTTCATAGCCGAGTTAGATCTTTTACTAGGAAGCTTTGACACTTTTCGAGTTGAAAAAAAGAATAAATCGTACAGAAACAAAATGTATATCTTGACCTTTTGGAATCTCTTGGCTCAAGAATGATTAG